GGGGGGGGGGGGGGGGGGGGAAGGGTATTAAATATACTTCCAAGTTCCAAAAGCAACCCAGCAGTTTTTTTTGTTTTTTTTTTAAGGACCATTTCTCGATTTATGTGTCATCCTTGTGCGCAGGGGCCATGCTAATTAGTCATGCCCGCGGTATGAGAGGCGCTGACAAGGATGAGAAGGATGACATGGCTGCACGAGAAGCTGCCACGTGGCTCCTAAGTGGGGTTGTTGGATATACTTCCAAGAGGAACCCAGTGCTTTTGCTCTTTTTTTTTTTTTTTTAAGGACCATTCTCCATTTCTGCGTGTCATCCTTGTGCAGGGGCCATTTGCTAATTACCCTTCTCTGTATCGTTCCTTTATATTTTTTCCCCTATCTACCTAGGCTACCAGAGTGGCACGGGTCCACTTGCCCGGCCGGGCCAAAAAAAAATAAAAAAATAAAAAATATTTTTTAATTTAAATTTTTACTTTAAATTTTTATTTTAAATTTGGTAAAGAATTTCGATGTGACCCTGAGGCAAAAGTTGTTCCGTTTATTTTTCTGCATAACATAGGTTTTTTTTGGATTTTTTTTTTTTTTTTTTTTTGGCTGGGACCTTCCCTAGTCCTTGCACGGCCGGGCCGCCCGGAAAAATAGGGTGACCCGGGCGGCCCGGCTGGTAGCCTAGCTACCTACACTATATTCTTCTCTCACGGATGTCCCGAAGGATTGTTTTTCAGTCTTTTGGCTAAGATCGAGTGTAGTATCTATTCTGATCAGTTAAAAAAAAAAAAAAAAAAAAAAAAACTCAGTTAAAAAAAAAAAAAGGGCCTAGTTCTAACACAAGAAAAAGGTAATTTCTTATGGTGCAAAACTCAGCAAGAACCTGGTCGGTTTCTTGGACCGAGTACATCTGTTCGGGAAGGACCAGATTCATGCAAAACGAACCAGGAAACTGGTCTACTCTTCGGACCAAGTCCACTCTGTTCATGTAGGAACCAGATTCAAGCAAACCTCACCGGGAACCTGGTCGGCTCTTTGGACCAAGTCCCACAGAAACCTGCTCGGCTATTTGGACCAAGTACATCTGTTCGTGTAGGACCAGATTCATGCAAACCTTGCCACGAACCTGGTACAGACTTCAGACCAGGTCCATCACTTTGTAACACCAGACCAAGTACGTCTGTTCGTGTAGGACCAGTTAAACGAAGTAATTTGGCCTGTAGGGCCTCTGAAATTGCCTGTCTTTTTGTTTTCCTTTTTTTCTTTTTTTTCTTTTTTTTGGAGGGGTAATTTGGCCTGTAGGGCCTCTGAAATTGCCTGTCTTTTTGTTTTCCTTTCTTCTTTTTTTTTTTCTTTTTGGAGGGGGGGCGGGCGGGGGCGCGGGGCGGGKGGGGGGGTGTGTTTCGCGGGAGTGGGGGAATTTGGACCATTTCTTGATTTGTGCACGTGTTTCGACCATTTCTTGATTTGTGCACATGTGTCATCCTCGAATGCGCAGGGACCATGCATGCTAATTAATCTTCTCTCTCTGTATCGTTCCAGTTTTTTTTTTTTTTTTTTTTTTTAAGGATCAGATATTAAACTGCTCGGCCTTTTGGCTAAGAACAAGTGTAGTATAACAGGGTGAGGTCCCACTAGCAAAGAGGATTAGATTGAACGCCTGAATCTGGCTGCGTTTGTGGACGAGTGCAGAAAATCGAGATTGAACTCC